TGGCTTGCAAAAAGTATTTAATAAAAAAATAGGAGTTTTAAGGGTTTGTAAAAATGTAGGGTTTTGTGAATGAAAATACAAGTGTTAGGGATTGTGGGTGGCTGTTCTAAGTGCTCTAAACAGTGATGTGAACAAAATCTGTGTGGATAGAAGGGAAGAGAAAGAGAGAGAGAGGTGCTTCACTCTCACAAGGGATAGGCCAATCACACAATCACAATCTCAAATTTTCATAATATTAACTCTTTTCCTCAATCATTAAGATCACACATATATTTATAGGCTAAAGACTCTCCTAATTCTATAAGGACTATAACTCAAATTAGAAATCAAAAATATTTAGCAACTATTAATATTCTAGACCAACTATGACTTCCAATTCTACTTCAATCATAATAGGAAACTTTAATGACTTTTAATTTTACTTCAATATCAAAATAGGAAACTTGGACTTTTGACCATTAGAAATTATTTAGACTAATAAAACTAGGGTGAGCAGCGAATACTGATCCATCCAAACCGACCGAACTGAACCGAATAAATCTGCCGCATTGAACGGATGCGTGATGACGAGCGGATAGTTACAGATTGATTTTTTCAATCCGCCTAATTTTGGACAGATGACGGATTTGAGGTTCCGTTGGCCGCAATTGAACCGCCAAACCACCAGCACCTCTACTAATTTATAAGACTCTGTTTTTCAATTTGTTTAAATATTTTGTTTGTGTTTTCAATTGAAAAAGAGTTTAAATATTCTGTAGAATATAGTCTGGTGAAAAGAGTTTTCAACTTGAATTATATTTTTGAATTGAAAAAAATAAATGTATTATTTATCTATATTTTTTTGGTTTTTAAATCTAAATTTGAAAATAATAAATAAAAAGATGATATATACTGGTTGATTTTTATTTTTAAAAACAGATATAGATGTAACAATACAGAGGCATAACAATCTCTACCATTACTCTATTCATGGTTTTGGTGGTTTGAATTGTTTTTATATTTTAGGAATCACAGATTGTAATACTTTATGTTGGATGAGGCATGTTGTGATTGTAATATGTGGATGAGGTATGCAGTGATTTTAATACTTTTTTAAGTCATTGACGTAATATTTCTTTTTTTTTTTAGGAAGTGCACAAGTTGAATTATGTTGAAAATTTATAAAATTTTAAACCGCCAAATAGATTCGCATCTACTCTGCCAATTTGCTCAATCCACATCTACCGGATTAGCGGACCGAATGCGGATTGATTTTCTCCAATCCGCCAATCTGATGGACAGATGATGAATTAGAAGTTCTTATGGCCGCAACCGACCCGTGCCATCCCTAAATAAAACCCATATATAATAACCCATTTAAAACTTGATCCAAAATAAAATCTATGGGCGACCCCTACAATCTATGCCCAACAATTGTTAGAATTATATTATTACCCTTAATTACTAAAAACTTACTATAATGACATGAAAGATTTGAAATTATTCACAATATTTAATTTTTGATGCCCTAAATGCGCTTCATGTGAAATTCCAGATCTGCTTTTCTTTTTTTTCTCCATGATTCTCATCATTCTCCCTTGGCATTCGAAAAAACTCTACCTCAAGTTTATAATGTTGAAGTATGAGGATTATGGAATCTTGCACTTGCAAACATTTAAATTGATTGTTTTGAACAATGAAGCGATGAGAAAATCAAAAAATTCATTGTTGTCATCACTCCATTGCCACATCAAATTTATTAGGAATAACAAACTCAAATGTGAACTTCATTTTTCTTGTGAAGAGTAAAAAATAGCTAAAAACTAATGTGTTTCACTCCACATTAAAGACAATGAAAGGGTTAAATGGCCATTGGAAACAAACCATTTCCCCCAATTCCACCCAACTGCAAGACAAAATTTTTAAGAACAATTGAGGATTATCAGCATCCAAAATGTTAATTCAACCATTGAATCTCAAAACCCAGATCAAAATCTTCAAGAATTGTCAGAACACATCAAAATGAATCACACCCACCATATAAAAAACACAAATTTCAACAAATCACACACTATTCAATTGACATAAATATATAAATTTATATACATGAGCGTTACACCACACCTAAACCACCTACCAGTGATAGCAAACAAACAAACACCCACAAATTGAAAATCAATTCAAAACAGATAAATTAGGAACAGGAAGGGAAAGAAAAAAAAACACCCATAAACTCGATTAGTCATTAACAAAGATCAAAAAGAGAAAAATAAAGAAAACCCAAGAAAGAATGTGAGGGAAAATAGAAAAAATCACCTGGGATTTGGATTGGAGAGACAAGTCAGGGAATCCAAAGAACAACTAGAACTAGAAGAAGAAGAGAATAAAATAGAGAACTGTTATGTTTGTGGTTTGTGTGTATCTATCTGTGTGGCTCTTCTACGTGTGTATGTGTGAAATGTTGCGTGGTGGTGATGGCCAATGGCCATGTGTTTGAGAAAGAATCGAGCCGAAGAATATACCACAACAACACCACCTCTCCACAAAAGGCATAACGCGCACACACACACACAGAGAGAGAGAGAGAGAGAGAGAGAGAGAGAGAGCGAAGACTAGAAGGGTAGTATGGGAATTGGAAAAGTGAAATGACGAAAATGGACTTGGACTCTGTGCGAAGTGTCTGAAGGTCAAGTTGTCATCGGACCGGTGTTTGGTTTGGTGTCCATTGCCATGTTCTCACAAGTGGCACTTAGATCTGTTTCCGCTCTCCTATGTTTTTCTCTTTACATTACCTTTTTTCTTTTTTCTTTTCCTTTTCTTTCTAGTCTTTCTTATCTCAAGTTTGAGAAATTGGATTGTTTGGGTAAAACAAATTTTTTATAAAAAAAAAATGTATCAAAAAATATTTTTTTATATTTAGTGATGACAGGGATAGGATGAAGGTGGAGATGGATGTAGTGGTATAATGGCAGGGGCGGTGGTGGTGGAAATGGCAATGATGATGATAGCAATGGTTGAGGTGAGAGTGACAGTGGTGATGGAAATGGAGATAGTGATGATGGTGTGGTGTTAGACGTGAGAGTGGCGGTGGTAATATGGTGACATTGATAAGATTTTAGTCCGAAAAATATTTTCTACCTAAATAGGCTTGTTTTCTATTAATCATGAAAAATATTTTTCCGTTAACGTTCGTTTTTCATTGTACCAAATACTAGAAAATACGAAAAATGTTTTTTAAAAAATATTTTCCGTCAAAACAAACAGAGCATTAGTTAGGCACGCCGCCAACGTGAAATTCCTAGCAGACAAGATAATACTTCAAGTTTATATCCAATTTTTCAGTAAAATGATGTAACAGTGACATATTTCAAAATTTCCTCTTAAAATTTGAAAAAATATATGTAACCCTCATAGTTTTAGTATAATTGTACAGATTTCTCTTTTAATAAGATTAATTAGACCGAGACTAATCAGATAATATGAAAATACAAAGATAAATCATTGTAAATATACATTTCATTATAATAATAATAAAAATGGCAATATCATTTT